CCACGGAGGTCCCAGTGCACTCCCAGACCCCCACGGAGGTCCCAGTGCACTCCCAGACCCCCGTGGAGGTAATCGTTAGCGTGTGCTCACAGAGTGCAAACTGAATTCTGTTTTCAGCCTCCGTCAAACGTTGTTGTTGTTGGGTGCTGTCAAGCTGATTCTGACTCATGGCGACCCCATGTGACAGAGCAGAACTGCCCCATAGGATTTCCTAGGCTGTAGTTTTTACAGGAGCAGATGGCCAGTTCTTTCTTCAGCTGCGGGTGGGATCCAACCACCGACCTTTCGGTTAGCAGCCAAGTGCTAACCGTTGCAGCACCAGGGCTCCTTAAAAGATCCTTAGGGACGTGAAAGTGAAAGATGCCAACAAAAATCCAAAAAGTGTATCCTGATCCGTTTATTCCTTGTTGCTGGATTGTTGTTTCCCTGAATCATTGTGGCACTGTTCCCTCCAGGGCTGGATAGTCGGACCATTTTCCAATTTGGGTTTAGAAAATTGGGAGCCGAGTGTGGTGCTGCCCTCGTGAATCGTGGGGGGCTGGAGCACCCCTGACGTGCCCCTCAGCGGCCTCCTCCGGGAGGCCTGACAGCAGGGACAGGTGAGGACTCTGGTGATGGGAAGCTAGAGCTGGGCAGTCAGGGATGCTGGGCAGGCGTCTCGGAGAGGCTGCAGACCACCAGGGCTTCCTCACGGGGGCTCCGTGGGCCAGATGGTCTCTCAGGAATCCCCTGAATTCTCACAGCTTAGGTTCTATTTCCTGTTGGTGTGTGTTTACCTGTGGAGAGTGGGGTGGGGGTCAGGAAACATGAACAGGGCCTCAGGGGGTGTGAGAGGCAAAAAGACCTTGACAGGCATCGCCTTCTCCCATAGCTAAAATGTGTGTTTGAATCTGGGAGAGGAGTTTAAAATCCCACGATTCTGTACAAATCTCTTTTCTTGTTTCTTTGTCCTCGGTTTGTACTTGGTGCTGCTGTATATATTGTTGATGGATCAACGCTTGTCCCAGCAGAGTGACAGGAAGAAGTATTGCCTCCACAGCTGGATTACATTTGCTGTTTGCCACAGATTCCTTTTGAAATCCAAATCTCTTTGGATGGGGCATTTTCTGAGTGTGGCCCTCCCCTCAGAACTACTTAAAGCACCAGGTTTTCGCCAGGGAAATGGACCCCACAGGTCCCTCACTCTGCTGGGCAGGCTCCTGGAGCTGCCCCAGGTGCACATGAGAGCCTCCACCTCTGAAGCTGCCCCAGGCAGACATGAGAGGCCCCCCCGCCCCTGGAGCTGCCCCTGGCGGACATGAGAGGGCAGTCCACCCCGAGCTGCCCCAGGTGGACATGAGAGGGCCTCCCTCTACCCCAAGCTGCCCCAGGTGGACATGAGAGGGCCTCCCTCCACCGCGAGTTGCCCCAGGTGGACATGAGGAGGCCGTCTACCCTGAGCTGCCCCAGGCGGACCCGAGAGGCAGGATGTTTCTCTTTACTCCTCCCTCCTGTTGCTTCTTCATCTTCTCCCTCTGCCACCCACCTTCATCCCAGCCCAGGCTCTCAGTGGGCCAGGACCCTCCAGGAGGCCTCCCAGCCAGGCCCAAGCAGTGTCCCAGTTCCCAGACCCAGCCAAGAACAGCCTGTGTGCCCCAAGTTGTGTGTGTGAATGGCCTTAAAGCGTGCTTCTGGCAGACAGCGTATGCGATTCCACGTTTCCGCATGAGATCCTTCATGCCAAGAGGGCAGAGACCCCAGATCCAGTTCCAGAGGAGTGGGTGACAGCAGGTGGACGAGGCCAGGTTTGGGGTGAGGGGTCCTAATGCAAGTCTGGCAGGAGGGAGGGATATTGGAAGGATGGGATATGGACAGGAGGCCATAGTACAGTCAGGGGCAGGCCGTACGTGGGCCAGTTCCATGGGTCACAGCAGCCATAAGGGTTAACTGTGTCCTGAACTTCTGCTCAGTCACGTCAGCCTCCAGCTCATGGCAACCCCATGCACAACGAACGCAGCGAAACCCTGCCTGGTCATCTGCCATCCCCATGATCAGTTGGGGTCGATCATGGGTTTCCATTGGCTGATTTTCAGAAGCAGATTGCCAGACCTTTCTTCCTAGTCCATCTTAGTCTGGAGGCTCTGCTGAAACCTGTCCAGCATCTTAGCAACACACAAGCCTCCACTGACAGATCGGTGGTGGCTGCACATGAGGTGCATTGGCTGGGAATCAAACCCGGGTCTCCCGCATGGAAGGTGAGAATTCTACCCCTTGACCACCACTGCCTCTGCCTCACGGGGTGCAGACCCGTAAATGGGCAAGGGGTGTACAGGGAGTCGGGGCTGTGATGAGGCAGTGCGGGCTCCACGGGCTGCTTGGGCTTCGCAGAGGGACTAGGTCCGCGTTGTGACCTGTTCTAAGGGATGAGCGGGACCTGGAGGGAAGGAATTGTCGGGGGGCTGGTGGTGACAGACAGAGGGGAGGGCAAGTGCGGGGCTGGAGTTGAGGAGACAGTGTGGCTTGTCAGAGGAGGAGCTGAAAGAAGTCATCGTGGAGAGTGAGAGGGCTGGAGGGTCGGTATGGCCGGGGTCTCGAGGGCCTGGTGAGCATTGCAGCCTAGAACAGACTTGGGTCAGAGCTGCCATGTGAGGCCAGCCTGTCCAGTGTGCCCAGTACATCACGGGTCTTGGGTGTGTGACTGTGGAGCCAGCAGGCTGACAGGATAGGATGCAAGCCGAGGACACTGTATTTGTCCTCACTGCTGTCCGTGCAGACTCTCTGGACAGCCTCGTCCTTTCTCTGCCTCTGCATCTCTGACAAGTCCCCTAACTTCTCCTGTCACTGAAGAAAAAGAAGGACTCGGGGCGCCCAATAGTAAAAACACGGTACTTTTAGTCCCCCGAGGAGCACCACAGCAGTTTATCAGAACTCCATTTTCATTGCAAGTGAAAGCTTTCCACCCTTCACCCCCTCCCTGGTCGGGCTCTGCTTCAGGATGGGAGGCCCCCGGGGGCCCTGCTGCTGTTCCGACCCCAGCTGGCCCTGTACCCCAGCAGGGAGGACATTTGGGAAGGACCCTGTCTTATGCGGCTAGAACTGCTGGTCCCACCTTAGTGCTCCCTGAACCTGGTGCTGTTTGAAGCGGCCTAGTCCCTGCGTGGTGCAAACGGTTTGCACTCGGCTACTAACCGAAAGGTTGGCGGTTCGAACCCACCCAGCAGCATTGCAGAAGAAAAGCCTGGCAATCTATTTCCATAAAGATTACGGTCAAGAAAACCTTAAGGGACAGTCCTACTCTGGAACACGTGAGTTGGAATCGATCCCGCGGCAACAGGTTTGGTTTTGGTTTTTGGAGTCCTCTCCTGACAGCCTTCCTCTGGGAACTTCCAATTGCAGTTCTGTGATGTGGGGAGGGCTTTTCTCCAGTCGGTCACTTATACATGCCGCCTTCAGTCCCGGGTTTCTAGCCACCCACCCTGCACAGGCAAGTGTCCCTCGGGCCTCTTGGGCAAAGTCCCTTTCAAGCTGACCCCACCCTGCTCTCTCCTACCGGGCCCAACCCCAATGCTCCACTCTTCTTCCCCTTCTCAAAAGCAGCTGAGGGGCAGATGGCTCCCTTCTCCAAAGAGGCCCTTCTTTGCTCTTTGCCCTTTAGCCTTTTATACCCTGGAAGCACTTGTTGTCTGTGGTTTCCTCTAAGCCCCTGAGGATTCAGCTGAATATGAGGCAGAGAGGCCTGTTGTACCATCGCGTGAGCAGCATCTGTCACAGCTCATTACTCTGTCACCAGAAGACCACAGCCTGAAAGCAGCTAGGGCAATCACTCCTACTTCTCGGAAGCCGAGGTGACAAGTAGGAAGCAGCCCAGCTCTCGGCCCTCAGGAGTATTTGAGCATTTGAGCGTGCCGGCATCTGGGAGAGGCCACCAGGACATCACAAAGGCTCCGGGCAGTGACTGGGGCCCAGCAGCCCTGCGCCCACGGGCTCCCCACGTGGAAGGGTGCCGGGACGCCTGCTCATCACCCAGCCCCCTGTGCCTCTGCAGTTCGCCCTGGGACTCAGCTTGACAGGAGCCATCACTCAGGGAGAAAGGAAAGGCTGTCCTTGAGATGGCCTTACCCAGACCTTCGTCCGGGGCACCAGTGCTATAAAACCTGGAAAAGATGTCTCAGAAACGTGTTCAGAAAATGTCTCCATGGGAGACAAAGAAGCTCTTTCATTCAGTCAACAAGCATTCACTTAGCGCCTATTTGTACGTGGGGAGTCCCTGCGTGGCACAAACGGTGTACATGTTAGGCAGCTCATTTTGGGGAAAAAGCCCTGGTAATCTCCTTCTGAAAAATCAGTCGTTGAAAACTACGGAGCACAGTTCTACTGTGACACCCATGAAATCGCCATGAGTCGGAGTCAACTCCATGGTTTGGTTCTTGTGCGCCAGGCACTGGGATACAATGACCGAGAAGACCAGGTCCCTGCCCTCCAGGAGCATATGCTTCCGGGATAGATGGGAACATGGGGTGCCCATGTGATGAGGTTCATGTGCCCAGGTGCTCTGAGGCCCCAACGAGAGCACCTAAACCCCTGGTGCGGGGGGCCAGGCTGGGCTGGGCGTGGAGGGGATGAGAAGAAGCAGGTGCTAGACAAAGTCAGACCTGTATGAAGAATTAGGGGCCCAGGTAAAAAGTGGTGCGTGCCATAGAGAGGATCACCCATGGGGCTAAGAGAACCCAGAGGGAGGAAGAGGGGGACGGAGAAATGAGAGAAGGGGCTAGGAGTTTTCCAGCCTGGCCTTGAAGAACAGATGGTGGAGCGGAAGGGAGGCAACTTGGTGAGAGCAGAAGGAGCTCGAACACAAACAGAGACGGTCTCGGGGGTGGCCAAGCTTGTGTCCCCGCTCTCCAGCACCGTGTGAGCACCTAGCAGACCCTCAGAACAGGGTTGCTGAGTGAACGCACGTGTCCTGGAACACCACGTTTGTCATGGAAGACATGGGCCTGTAGGCTGGAGAGGAACGTTGGGACAGATTGCCCAGCGTGGGGTTGCACTTTGTTCAGAGGGGATGGAACACCCTGGAGGAGATCCTGATTGGGTGTGAGGGGAAGCTGGGGGCAAGGTGGGGTGGGGTGGAGGACAGAGGCCAGTGGAAGGGAGACCACCTGGAGGCTCCTGCAGGCAGCAGACCAGATGAGGGCACTGAGGTCTGCAGCACGTGGCGAGTATGTGGGCTGGAGAGGAGGAAGCAGATGCAACAAGCATCTTTAAGGTAGAAGGGGCAGAATGCAATGCCTCATGGCACACTGAGGTGAGTAGGAGTGTGCTGTGTGCTCCATGATGCCAAGCGGGGCCGTTCATGGGAAGCGGGAGCCTAGAAATGGGCATTAACGTTACGTTGAGGGCGTCTTTGGCTTTTCATTCACTCTCCTCCTGTGTTGTTTTGTTTCCTCCCGTAGCCTGATTGACAGACGAGGGTACATCCAGCCGGACACACCGCAGCCAGCAGCACCCTCCAACGGCATCACCATGTATGGAGCCACTCAGTCACAGACCAACATGGTAGGGCGCCTGCAGGGGGCGCAGCTCCCCCCGAGGCTTCTCTCCCACATATGTGGGCACTAACCAGTAACAAACCTGTGCACTTGGAAACCCCACCCCAGGAGGAAGAGACACCCACTGGCACCCCTCCACCAAAGGGGCGAAACAAAGTGTTAAATTAAGGCACCATCCAACTAAGGAGCGTGGCACTGAGTTTTGTTTGTTCGGAGTTGTGTAGGGAGAAGCACACACACACAATCTCTTTGATAGAACAGCTTGTGGCATATTGTGATGGAAAGTCACGTTTTTAGAACGAGGATAATATTTTGGGGGTTAGATACAACTGCCCTGGGCAGGGCCAGTCTGTCTCGGCATTCCTGGTTTCCCATTCCATCTCTTTGCCTCTCTCTGCACTGATGCCCCTCTTCTTTAAGGATTCAGAGAATAACACAGCCAGTTCTCCCTACTTTCAGCCAGAATCATAGATAGTCATGTACACTTTAGCGCAAATAATCAGACAAGGTTTTCATACATTCACAGCAAACACAGAGTGAGTGCCTCTCCAAAAAGGATTCACATGGAGTGTGGAGGGGTGTGCTTTGTTTCCGTTTGTGAGTGGGGAGGCTTGGGGAAGGGGCCAGAGTCTTCCCACAGGCACGGGAGATCACAGCATGGCCTATCTTGGGGAGGGGGCCGGAGTATTCCCACGAGCACAGGAGATCACAGCATGGCCTGTCTCTGAGATCAGGGTAAGGTAATGGCCTCTCTTTATTTGGAACAAACTTCCCTAACCAAGTTTGGTGTTTCTGGAAAGAGCCAGCCTTGTGGCTCTCCAACACTATATGTTCTTTGTAGAGCTGAGTCACCTGCAACAGAGTTTCAGTGACAAAAGTTCAACGACTTGGCTGTAAGTGTTGTCCTTGTTAGCTGCCATCAAGTCAGCCGCCGACTCATGGTGATCCCGTGCACAGAGGGATTGGACTGTTGTGTTCTGTAGGGTTTTCAATGACTGATTTACAGAAGTAGATCACCAGGCCTTCCTAGTTTGTCTTAGTCTGGAAGCTCCACTGAAACCTGTTCAGCATCTGGCAACATACAAGCTTCCACTGACAGACGGGTGGTAGCAGCATATGAGGTGCATTGGCCGGGATTCAAACTTGCGTCCCCGCATGGAAGACGAGAATTCTACCACTGACCCACCAGTGGCCTGGTGATTTGAAGTGTAGACTGGGGGAGATTCCAGCATCATGGCATTTTGTCTCTGCATGTTAGGAACTGCAAGGTGGAAGTCAGCAGACCCGAGGCTGCCTTCCAATAGCTCAGGTCTCAGGGAGAAGTTGAACCCCACTACGGCTGCTCACCAAAAGGTTGGCAGTTCGAATCCACCAGGCACTCCTTGGAAACCCTATGGGGCGGTTTTACCCTGTCCTACAGGGTCACTATGAGTCAGAATTGACTCGATGGCAACAGGGTTTTTTTGTTTGTTTGTGTTTTGTGTGACTAGTGGTCGACCCTGACGGCTGCATTTACACCCACAAAAACACGAGGCTCCAGCCTCAAACAGAAGTTTTCCCGGACTTCTTTGTTGGTGTGGTGGCCTCTTGTTTGTGGTGTTTTGCTTTGCTTGGGTATTAAGAGCACGTATATATACATCACATCCTGTCATACCCTCTGTAAGTGCTCTCGGAACAGCTGTTTCTGTCCATGCTCACCCACGCAAACGACCTGCTTCACGGAATGTTGAGCTGGAGGAGATTCATGGGTCACTCCCCACCCCTTATTTCTCAGAGGAGAAGAGTGAGGACAGAGGATTCAGAGACTTGCCCTCAGGAAAGGGGGTGGCATGTATCCTTGCCCTTCTGTTTTTCCTGTACCTGGAGGTGAGACACAGGCATGAGGCAGTGAGGGAAGAGCAGGGTGTGACACCATGCCCTGAGTCCCAGTAGACCCCGACGCCAGGGCTCCTTCAGTCCTGACCAAGGGAGCCAACGGCATACTGAGTCATGACGGGGGTCAAGTGAAGACCTGGGGCCTTAAGGACCTACCAAGACTGGCAGTGCACACTCAGCTTCCTGCCCCCTCAGCCCGCACACCTGAATGCCTCCCGCAGCACTGCCTCCATCCACACACACAAAGTGGAAAGGGCTCCATCGTTCCTTCATTCATGCGTGTAAATCATTTTTTCTGAAGAGCGTCCAGGTTAAAGGCACGTCAGCCCCGGGGGGGGCGAAGGAACGAGCCAGGCACAAGGTCTGAGCTGAGGAGCCTTGCAGGAGAGTAACATTCGGGGGCCATGCCCTAATGGAATCTGTGCACCTCTAAGCTCAGGTAGGGCATTCTGCATACAGTTTTAGGATCGAGGTCTCCCTCGAAAGCCCCTGGACCCCAAGGTAAAGAAGTCCTACATCAGTGTGTACCATGGTCTACCTTCTCCCTATCAGAGAGAAACTCTTAAAAAATCTAAAACTCCTGGAAAGTCGTATGCATATGAACCCTGCCCGATTCGGGAAACAGCACAGTCTTGGAGCCAAGTCCCTGAACCAGGGTTCTCCATCCAATGATAAAAGCTGTAAGGAAACATTTCTTCCATGTGGTGAACACTTCAGAGTGTGTCACCAGTCTTTCAAGAGGACTTCCTTAGTTCAGTCCTCTTAAAGAGGAAAAAAGGGGGTGGAATTAAGTATCCAAAGAGCCAGACAGTCGCCATTTACTAGATGAAGGCCTTAAGTTGTTTAACCTGTCTCTGCCTCAGTGTTTTCATCTGTAAAATGGGGACATTGATGTCCTTACCTTGTAGGGTTTCTATGAGGATTAAATGAGTTAACATATTTAAAAAAACAAAAACAAAAAACCGTTGCTGTTAAATTGATTCCAACTCATGACAACCCCACATGTAAAGAAACCACTTAAAACCGTGCCTGGTACAAGGTATTATATAAGTGTTAACTGTTATTGTTTTTGTTACTATTATTATCTCCCTGATATCCATGGTGGCATGATCAGACAGGTCAATTGTATCTTCTCTGAGCAGCTGGGCAGCCATGGTCATGACTGGGGTGAGTGAAATGTCCCTGGATGGAAAGCAGGGAACCAGCGCTGCTGCAGTCCTGGCTCCCGACAGTTAACTCCCTTTTAGCAAGTCTCTCTGCCTCTCTGGTCCTCTCTTTTCCTAATCCGCAAAATGGGAGCTTGACTAGTTTGTATCTAAAGCCCCTTCCAACCCTAAGCAGTCTGTGAGTCTCTAAATCTTTGCAGCTGAACACATAGGTCAGAAGGTTGGAAAACAGCATGTTAGTCCCCACACACTTCCTCTTCCTAAAAGAGGTGAACACTGAGACCCTTGGCTCCTCTCCCTCCTCCCACTCTGCGCTGACCAACAGCCCCAAGTCTGAGTAACCCAGCACCTGCCACAGGATCGAGGGGTACACTGCCATCTGGTTGTCATACTGAAATTTCCCTGAGAGTAGCTTTGTGCATTGTTTTCCTATTTGTCTCATATTTCTTGCATTTCTGGAATAAATCCATTTTCTTGTGGTGTATAATCCTTTTTATATGTTAGTGGATTTGGTTTGGTTATATTTTGTTGAGGATTTTTGCCTTTTTTATTTTACTTTATCTCGCTTTTTGAGATGTTAGTCTGTAGGTTTCTTTCCTTGTGACATCTTTGTCTGGTTTTGGTATCTGGATAACGCCGGCTTCAAAGAATGAGTTGAAATGTTTCTTCCTCTTCTATATTTTGGAGAAGTTTTTGAAGAACTGGTGGTAATTCTTTACATGTTTGATAGAGTTTACTAGTGAATTCATCTGTCCTGGCTTTTCTTTGGGGGTAGTTTTTTTTATTGCTAATTCAGACTCTACTTATTACAGGTCTATTTACATTTTCTATTTCTTCTTGAGTCTGTTTCAGTAGTTTGTCTTTCTAGGAATTTTATCTAAGTTATCTAATTTGCTGCCATTGTCTCATATGTCTTCTATCAGTATTGTTTTATCGTGGGAATAGATGAAAGGAGGAAACTCTAAGGACTGAAAAAGTAAAAACAAATAGAAATGAGGGTAATTTGTAAAAGTGAAAGGAAAGAAGTAACCAATGACCTCAATGAGAGTAAGGAAGCACATGAGTAAGTCCTGAAAGGGAGAAATTGGTGTTCCGGTTTTTTTAATGTTCTATGAAATATATGTCACTCTCCCAACTGAGAGCTAGGAACTCTAACAGAGTGACTTCCAGTGTGGGTCACAGGTCCTGCATTGTTTGCTTTGCTTTATCCCCGTTTTGAGTAGTATTATGGCCAAGAGAAAGATACATACCAGTTTCTAAGAATTGTCAAACTATGGAAAATTTCGTCAAAACGTTTCAAGACTAACAACAAAACTATTTCTTTCGGGCAAATTGTAACATTCCTTTCCTTTGGCTTGTTTGGATTGTTCATAACAGACATCCCAACCAAGGACTAATCCATCACAAACTGAGCCAGGACATCATGACCAGCAGCACCTGGCCAAAGGAACTGGAAGCCCTTCAGGTTTTCTAGTCTCTGATGCAGCAGTAGACACCCAGGGTACCTGCCCTCTGCTCCTTTGAAAGCCTGGCATCATCACCAAGAGAACAATTGATCCAGCAACTTGCCAAACAGTCCACCATCTTCCTTTTCATTTACTTTATGATTTCAGTATAGCTCAAGCTCACAATCAATAAGAAAATTCTTGTGTTCCAGTCTCCAGTTAGACAGATACGAAAATTAATGCGCAAATCCTTTAATGTTGATTGACTTTGTCAGAATTTCAAGGTGAATTTAAGAAACTCTACTGTAGTCAAATGGGTTTCCATAGGAGTGTATCACTCTTTACAATTGGCAGAGTTGATAATAACAGTAGCTGCCATTTTTTTAGTGTTGTCTATGTGCTATGTCGTGTGCTCAGCATTGTACAGGGACTTTGGAGCCAGACTGTCTAGGTTCAAATCCAGACTGTCACTAACTACCTGTTGTCATCAAGTCGATTCCAACTCATAGCGACCATATAGG